ATTATATAAAATTCAGGTGGAGAGATTACTGTTCCAATTCACATCATGATCCAGGATGACAGAAAATGGAGTACAGAACTGAGCCATCTATCCTCTCAGAGGAAGTGGTGTGTGCTAGGATGAAAATGAAGCCTGGAATGCACCAAAACAGCATGCCAGAAAAATTATTAAAAGCAAGAAAGAGAAACTGATCTGATGTGGAAAATCTGTAACAATGCAGGGATGAGTGGAAACTTAGCTGAAAGAATGGATGAAGAGAATTTTTCTGCTTTACCAAAGATGGGAAGCAAAGCATAGTAACTATTGTACCCGGGGCTGTTAAGAAGAGGTGTACCTCCGGTGAAAGAAGCAGGGCTGGGGGCTAGCCTCCCTCAGCCTGCCCTTCAGTGCCATTAGGGCCATAGGGCACGTGCTGCCAGGTGCTTTAGTGGCAATTTATAAGGCCCAGGGCTCCAAAAGCTGCCAAGACAGCAGTGGCAGTGACCAGTATCCCTGGGCAGTTGCCCACATTGGCCCTTCATCTGTGGTCTTGATCGTACCATCTCCCCGATACCACATACAAGCAAAGCTCTGCTCTACATAGTCCAATATTTCAATGACTGAAGGATAGAAACAGAACTTCTGCCAGTAGCTAATTTCAGAGAGGATTGAGGCACATGTGACTAAATCAAGAATATCCATCACATCACTGAAAAAATACACACAGCGATTAATCACCCATTGATCCGTGTTTCACTGACTATGAACAAGTATTTGATACCTTTCAATGCAACCATCTTTGGCAAATATAGGAATTTCAAAACATCTAACTGAATTCACCACAAGTCTCTATCATCACCAGCCAACCATGATGAAAACACAAGTGACACTGGGTGATTTTCCACTGGGCAGTGTGGGAGACAAGGGTGTATTTTGTCTCTAACAAGCCTTGGAAGTTTTGAAGAAACTGGCATCTCTACTCATGTTCACCTCTTAACTGATCTTAAATATGCTGATGACACAATGCATTTTGCTACAATCAGTGAGGCAATGCAATAAATGTACAACTGTTAGTGCAGAATATGGATCATTCCTGAATGTAATGGGGGAAAAAAATCAATGTACATCAACAGACAACATGATTAACAGATAAGCTGTAGAGACGGTAGAGGAATTCAGTTACCTGGAATCAGATACAGCCAGATAAGGAGGCTTTTTCAAAGAAACTGAAAGATTAGGGATAGCTTGCTCACGGATGGCCTCTGCAGTGTAGCAGGCCCATTAAAAAAAGTGAGCTCAACACTCCTGCTCCAGCCCAGATGTGCATAGCTGAGCCATTAAGAAGCTGGAGCTATAAGAAGCCTACTGAAAGAAGGTACATCTACCTTGCAGTTAGGCACCTGCTGCTGGCATATGCCAGCTGACTTGGGTTTGAGGGGCTTTCTAATTACTATATTAATGTTCAGGCTCAGGCTACAGCCCAAGCTCTGGGAGCCTCCACCTTGCAGAGTCTTAGAGCTTGATTGCCACCCTGACCCTGAACATCTTCATAATAATTAAGCAACCCCATGAGCCTGAATCAGCTGGCATGGGTCAACTGCAGGTGCTGAACTAAGGGAGTCAAAAGTCAGACAGGACAGTCAGGAATCAGACAGGAGAAGAGCAGGATCAGGGAGTGGCGAGAGAATGAAGGAGGTTTCTGGAAGAAGGCTGAGGACAGGGAATCAGCTACAAAGGTTTGCTGGCTGGTGTTCCCAAGCTATAGGGTTAGAAAGGGCTGCAGGCAGTAAAACCATCAGAGGGAGCTGCCTATTGGCTCTAAGCCGGAAAGATGGAGACAAAGGATAGAGAGAGCAGGGGAACAGCAGAGACACTTACCCACAGACATCCCCAGGGCTGGAGAGCTGGACCTAGAAGTACTGAGAGGGCCAGTGAAAATGGAGGATGCTCCCTTGGTACTACGGATGCTCCCAGCAGAGGCCAATGGATTCCGTAGATAGAATTATTTAGATTATATTTTATTACATACAATATAAACTGAATTTGGATTATTCTGCAAAATAACTGGCAACATAACAATTTATTCACAAAACATTAGGTATTTGTTCTTTTCCAGACACAGGGAATGCAGAGACTAATACATTTTTCAGCTGAGAATGAATACTGCTAAAATGTGTTCACTAAAATAAGTGTTCTTTTGCCAAAGAAACTTTGATTTTACAGCTTGGATTTTAGAGTGAAAAACCAAAGTCAGTAAATTAGAGAAAATAGCATTGCCCGTGTTCTGTCAAACCGCTTGTACACAAAAAGGAAAAGTTGCCTAACAGATAAAAAGCTGATATTTAGAGAACTGTAACATTCTGTCCCATAAACTGATTGAATTCAAGTATTATCCCACCATCCAACTTAGGTTTTGGCCCAGTAGATTGTTTTTCCGTGTGGAAAAGTAAATGATGGATTCCAGCATCAGGTGACATGGTCACAGGTGTTGGCTGCAGTGCCAGTAGCCATTTCTTACTGCTTCACGCTTGCAGGAAAACCACATTTTCACACAGTTCATTGTCCCTTGCTAATGGGCCATCAGTTCTGTCTGGCTTCTTCTTTGTTGTATCTGGTAATAGGCTTCTCCCAACATGAATAGTGATAGAAATGTAGCCGTGTTAGTCTGGGGTAGCAAAATGCAGGACAATGTAGCACTTTAAAGACTAACAAGATGGTTTATTAGATGATGAGCTTTCGTGGGCCAGACCCACTTCCTCAGATCAAATAGTGGAAGAAAGTAGTCACAACCATATATACCAAAGGATACAATTAAAAAAAAGAACAAATATGAAAAGGACAAATCACATTGCAGAACAGAAGGAGGAGGCGGGGGGGTGGGAAGGTCATCTAATAACCCAACATGAACACATTAATAAATCTATAGTCAAATTCCTACCTTCAAATACAGAAATGATACATGCATGGAAATAGGATAGTCACATTCAGTAAATTCCAGACTTCCCAATTATGTATTACAAGAGTCATTCAAACATTTTCTGAAAGGATATGGAATATTATATCACACCCTTTTTCCTCTACAGAGGACCCTGTAAGAATACTGAGTCTTTACAAAGTAAGTAGCTATCCAGTACCAAGGAACTTATCTCAAGAAACCTGCTACTGCACATGTACATTTTTTTAGTTATTGGACATAGCTCACTGAAGGCTGAGAAATGGCATTTCAATGCTAAAATGACTGCCAAAAAATTGATTGTTGCTGATTTCAAATTACCAAGAAAGATCACATCCCAACCCTTTGCAATTGTTATATTTCTTTGGTCCCGGATTTGGCAACAAGTATCTTTAACACAACCACATTTGCTGAAGCACTAGAATGGGAGGCTTTCATTCACTTAATATCCCTACTCCCGACTCTCACACACAAGCACTGCCTGTGAAAGGGCACAAATTGCACTTAGGATTCCAGCTGTCAGCCTCATTTTCAAGTCTAAAATGCCCTACGCTACCAAATGTTCCACTGTTTAATCATGAGCCTGAAACCTCAGTTGGGATTATGACACGTCTGGGCCAAGGTAACAAACGACAGTAGATTTATTTGTCAGTTTTTGCTGCAGTGTTACTTTCATTGAGCCCATGGGTAACACCAGGCCTGAAACATTTTGCAGGATTAATGAAGGTCATTTCAGCTGTAATGCTAATAAGATACCGATTATAGCCCTGGAAAGTTCAGTAGCAAATGGCCACCTGTGATTTCTTATTTAAAATCTATTTCCTTCTGCACTGGTGACCATTTAATTCCCTCAGAATATGTTAGGTAAAAGTCATAGTAGAATGTACTATATGGAATATTCTCTAATGAGAGATGAGAGAGAGAGAAATCTTTTACACGAAAAGCACATTCCATCAGAATTTCAAAGCTTGCTTGCTTCAATATTTGTTCTACCTTTGTGCCTCTCAGGCTGTGTCTACACAGCACAGTTATTTTGGAATAACGTTAGTTATTCCAAAATAACATAGTGTTCATCTATACAACCAGCCTGTAACTTCAAAATAAATTCAAAATAACAGGCTTCTTACTCCTACTCCTGTAACCCTCATTGTATGAGGAAAAGGGAAGTCTGGGGAAGAGTGCTCTTTTTCGAGATAAGTGCTGTGCAGACAGCACTAAAAGTCAAAATAAGCTATTTTGACTTAAGCTACACAATTAGCGTAGCTCACGTTGCATAGCTTATTTCGAGTTTAGCTCTGCTGTGTAGACATGCCCTTAGGGCAGGGGTGGGCAAAAGAGCCTCCGCGGGCCAGAACTGGCCTGCCAAGCGAGTTGATCCAGCCCGCGGATGCTCTGCCACTCTCCCACCTCCAGGCCAATTAGGGCCTGGGAGTGTGGGAGCACACAAAACTTCTTCCTGCCATGCCAGGATCACACGGCACTTTGAAGCCTTGATTGGCCAGGGGGCAGGGGAGTTGCGTGAAATTTCCTCTGCCCTCCCCCCACCCTGCGAGGACCTCACGGCACTTCAAAGTGCTATACTCTTCACACAGCTCCCCCGTCCCCAGGCCTTGATTGGCCTGGGGGAGGAGGGAGAACGCGAAGCCTCCTCCTGTCCTGCGAGGAGCGTGGAAGTGCTGCGTGCTCCTGGCAGGAGGGGAAGGGTAGGGTAGGAGGAGACTTGGCGCGCTCCCCCGCCCCCAAGCCCTAATTGGCCTGGGGGTGGGGGAGCATACAAAGCCTCTTCCCGCCCTGCCAGGGGCATGGGTACTTAGTGGGAAGGGGAGAGAAAGGGGCTGCCCCACCCCAAGACCAATCATTGTTTGGGGATGTGGATGCCCAGAAGCATCATGACCCTTCCCCTTCCAGGTTGGCCCGGGGCCACTTCCAAATTTTTGAAGTAGCCCCCAGCCAAAAATTATTGCCTACCCCTGCCTTAGGGTGTAATCTAAGGGTTTATCTATGTTCTCCCAAGATGCTTTGTTCCATTGTGAGGTTATCCACACTAGCATTCCAATCATTTCCCCATTAAAAAACAACAACAACAACTAAGAATGGGTGTGACAGGGCATACTCTCCCTACCCTGACCTGGAGCTGTTTAATTCAGCCCTAATGGCCACACCCCCTTTACCTTACTGGGCATGCTTGAGCTGCACTGCTATAAAAGAGAGCAGCTCAGCTCATTTGGAGCTGGCAGACAGAGGGAGAGGATGTGCCTGGCTAGCTCCCTGCAAACCCTAGCGACTGCCCAACTGCTGAGATGCTACCACAAAGGCATCTAGAGACTGCACAGGTTCCAGAAGCAAGTGGAAGTAGCCAGATCCCAGAAAAAGGAGGAGGAGAGCTGGAGAGTGACCAGTGACCAGAGACATTTGAAACAGGAAGCACCCCAGGACTGGTGATGGCTACAGGGTGAGTGAGCCACTGTCTGATAGTCAGTGTGTTGTGGCTGGAATTTCCCTGCTGACTCAGTGGCAAGAGCAAGCCACTAATAGGACCCTGGGCTGGGGTCTAGTGTCCCTTAAATAGACTCTAACCATGGGGTCACATTAAGACTATTGAATGGTGCTGTTCTGCCAAAAACGGGTGAGTTATAGACTTAGACCATTGGGTCACATTGGGACTATTGAACTGTATTGCCCTGCCAATAGGGACTAGATATAGATTCTGACCAGCGAACTATAGGGAAGGAGTAGACCGACATTGGTCTGTGAGATTAGAGAAACCGGCTAGGGGAAAAAAGGGATGAATACAAGCATGACAGGCTTCACACCACCGTGGATGGGGTTTTCACCACAGCTGCGTGACAACATGCTTATAAAACAAATATGTGATTTTCTCTGAACACACTATGGCTGCGTCTAGACTGGCAAATTTTTCCGCAAAAGCATCTGCTTTTATGGAAAAACTTGCCAGCTGTCTACACTGGCCACTTGAATTTGCGCAAGAACACTGACGATCTAATGTTTGGGAAAAAGCCCTCTTGCACAAATGCTTTTGCTCAAGAGGGCCAGCGTAGACAACTGAACTGTTTTGCGCAAAAAAGCCCCAATGGTGAAAATGGCGATCAGGGCTTTCTTGCACAAAACCGCGTCTAGATGGGCACGGACACTTTTCCACAAAAAGTGCTTTTGCGCAAAAACGTCCATGCCAATCTAGACACTCTTTTCCGCAAATGCTTTTAATGGAAAAACTTTTCCGTTAAAAGCATTTGCAGAAAATCATGCCAGGCTAGATGTAGCCTATGAGTTGCTGAATACACCCAGTGGCAGTATTTAGCGCTGCACATCTTTTCTGCCTTTCCCCTTGCCAATTCTTTATTTTGAGTCCAGTCCCCTGCCCTCACAGCAGGACCAAGTACCATCCCTGACAGATTTGACCCAAATCCCTAAATGACCCCCCTCAAGGATTGAGTTCACAACCCTGGGTTTAGCAAACCAATGCTCAAACCACTGACCTATCCCTCCCCCTTTTTAATTTCCTCCTGCATCCAAACTCCCTCCCAGAGCTTACTCTCCCATCCTCTGCCTAGCCAGAGCCAGCACCTAGCAATTTTTTAATTATTATTTTGGGGTGTCTGAAAGTCCTAATATAATTGAAATACAAAAGTAACTACATTAATGTGTAGGATGCGGTGTTGATACAAGAATAGTGCCTTACAAAATACTGATAAAGATCCCATTCAAAGGACAGTTTCTAGCTGTCTAACTGTGTGCTCTGGCAGCACTTTTTGTCATTGTGCACCTATAGAGAGAACATCCAAAAATCCCACATTGTTTGAGCTCAAGGTGCATCAGCATGTTATCAAACACCAGCTGGCTGCCTTCAAAATCCTCTTGTATATATGTGTCTGGCAAGTGTGCTGCAGATAACCCAAAGTCACATAGGCACGGCAATGGCGAAAACATAGTTCCATAAAGCCTATCTATAAATCCCAGATGTAGTCCTTTTAAAGATTTTTTCCCCCCCCCAAAATCTCCTGAAATAGTTTCTGCCTAATCCAACACATTACTGGAGCTAAATAAATGAAATGAGTAAGGAAAATGAATAAAAACCCACATAGAAACTGCTTCCTTATACTGTACCACCTTCTACTATGGAATTTATTTTCTATTTAAGCACTTAAATACTAAGTTGATGGGCATGGGGTACACATTTAAGAATATTTATGGATTCCTCAGTACATACATTGTGGTTTGGCTTTAGATTACTTGCCTGGCATCATCCAAGAGTATGCATAGACAATCACCTATTTGAATGTACATTTGTACTACACAGAAACAGACAATACTCACAAAATTAAAAGCATCGCGAAAAACATTGAACATCTAGAGAAGAATTATATTTGATGTTGCAACACTGTTAGAAATGTGTGGTCAGGCAAAAGTTGATTTAGACCAATGACACTCTTACATTTTCCCTTTAGACCCTAAGAATGGCCCTACTGGGCCAGACCAATGGTTCATATAGCCGAATATCCTGTCTTCCAACAGTGGCCAATGCCAGGTTCCCCAGAGGGAACGGACAGAGCAGATACTTATAAAGTGATCCACCCCCCTGTATCCCATTCCCAGCTTCTGGCAAACAGAGGTAAGAGAAACTTCACAGCATGGTTTTTCATCCTTTCCTGTTGTGGCTAGTAGCTGTTGATGGACCTCTCTTCCGTGAACTTGTCCAGTTCTTTTTTTAAACGCTTTTACAGTTTTGGCCTTCATAACATCCTCTGGCAAAGAGTTCCACCGATTGACTGACTGTGCGTTACGTGAAGAAATGTTTCCTTTGTTTGTCATAAACCTGCTGCCTATTCATCTCATTGGGTGACCCCTAGTTCTTGTTTTGTGTTAAAGGAATAAATAACACTTTATTTATTTTCTCCACACTGGTCATGATTCTATAGATCCCTATCATATGCACTGTTAGTTGCCTCTTTTACAAGCTGAAAACTCCCAGGCTTACTAACTTCTCATAGAAGCTGTTTTATGCCCCAATCATATTTGATGCCCTTTTCTAAATCTTTTCTAATTCTAATGTCTCTTTTTTGAGATGGGGTGATAAGATCTGCACACAGTATTCAAGAGGAGGGCATTTATAGAAAGGCAATAGTCCATATTCTTATTTTCTATCCTTTTCCTCATGATTCCCAACATTCCATTCGTTTTTGGACTGCCGCTGTACTGTGTGTGAATGTTTCAAAGAACTATCCACAATGACTCCAAGATCTTTCTTAAGTGGTAACAGCTAACTTAGATCCCATTATTTTATGTGTATAGTTTGGATTATGTTTTCTAATGTGCATTACTTTGCATTATTAAGCATTGAGTTTCAGCTGCCATTTTGTTGCTTAATCATTCAGGTTTGTGACACCCCTTTGTAATTTTTTGCAATCTGTTTTGAACTCAACTGCCTAGAATAATGATGCATCATCTGCAAGTTTTGCCACCTCACTGCTTATTCCAGGTTCCAGATCATTTATGAATATGTTGAATATTATTGTGCCTAGTAACTACCCCCAGGAGGACACCCATATTTGCCTCACTCCATTTTGAAAACTGACCATTTATTCCTGCCCATTGTTTCCGATCTTTAAACCAATTATTGATCCATGAGAGGACCTTCCCTCTTATTCTGTGGCTCCTTCCTTTGCTTTAGAGACCTTGTCAAAGGCTTTCTGAAAATCTAAGTACTCTAAAGCCATTGGCTCGCTCTTACCCACATGCTTGTTGACCCCCTCAAATAATTATTCTATGTTGGTGACAAATTATTGCCCTTTACAAAAGCCATGTTGATTCTTCCCCAACAAATCATGTTCATCTATGTGTTTGGTAATTTTTTTTTTTTTTTTACAATAGTTTCAACCAATGTGCCTGGCACTGAAGTTAAGAGTACTAGCCTATAATTGCCAAAATTGCCTCTGGAGCCTTTTTTAAGCACTGCATTACGTTAGTTATCCTTCTGTACTAGATGACTGGAACAGATTTAAATAAGGTTTAGTAGTTTTGCAATTTCACATTTGAGTTCCTTCAGAACTCATATAGCAAATGTATAAATTACCTATGTGATTCTTTAGTTTGGGAGGCAGTTGCTAAATTCAAACAGGTGTTTGTGTTCCAATATGAACTTCTTATTTGAGTCAACTGATTTCAAATGGATTGATTTATTGTCATTACTGTCTTATCAGTTACATGGAAACAGTGGCTTGCTGGCCCTTGAGTGCTATATATATCCTGTGTTTGTCAGCCACATTGATTGGAATAGCAGATGGAGTCAACTGGGAAGTTTTGCAATGGTGTGGTTAATATTCAAGTTAATACTGACAATTCAGAGAAATCCATACAACATAGTTCTTCCTAAGGTACCTGAGTATCAGAGATAGCTGCAATAACCTAATAAATCTATACAATATATTTTCCTCTCGCCCTTAAAGAACAGGAGTAAAAGAGAATTAACTTGAAAACTTCAATAAAAATTATGAGTATCTTTAGATTTGCTGATCCCAGTTCTCTTTATATGGGAAATTATGTAGCTAATGCCACCCACTGCTTAATGGTACATCTAGACTACAAGCTTCTTTCGAAAGAAGCTTTTTCGAAATAATCTTTCAAAAAAGCTTCTTTCGAATAAGATTGTCTAGACAACCACCACTTTTTTTCAAAAAAGCGATCCAAGTTTTTTTTTTTTAAACAGGCCACTTTTTTCGGAAAAAAACCCTGTAGTTTAGAGATAGTCAAAGTGATCCAAAATATTAAAGAAAACAAAACTTCCCATGTAAACACCTTGTTTTTATTATATTAAAGCACTAAAAATGTCATTCTAAATCATGCACTCCAGTAGAAAGCGTTCCCATAGAGATCCAGAAGTATCATGCCATTGATTTGCATACATATATATTTGTCTGGACACATTTCCTTTCATGTGACTTTGCCCAGACACTCATGTCCACAGAAACTGCTGACATAATGTAATCTGTCATTTATTCTTGCTCCAATAAGCAAAGGCCTAGACATTCACACGGAGAGATTTCTATGGTGCCAAAGAGAAGAGTGTCTCAGATTCTCTTTCTATTATGGTGACTAAGAGCAGAGGGAATTTGGGTTCCTAATGTCCTACCTTTAAGAAGCTAAATCCATTGTTTAAATTCTGCCCATCTCTCTTCAGAGCTGGCCTTAGGCATATACATCAAGAACATATGGGGAACCATCACCCGTTCAGCTGGACTGGAAACAGCTTCCCTGGACATAATGTGCCCTTTCTGGGTAAAGTAGTAGAGTTGGTCACTAGAGCAAATGAAGTATGCCCTTCCCTCCTCTCAGGACTTGATGTGTACTGTTGGCATTAGCAGTGCGCCTACAAGTATTTGGTAAATAAACAGGGAATAGTGAGATTCAGGGCCAAAATCTATCTATGTGATGATGTTCTTAGGAGACTGTGCCAGCATCACAACCAGAATCAATATCTCCCATGATATTGGTCTCTCCATGAGTGATGGTCCTTGATTAGACAGGTTGATGTATTATTTGGACAGCCTGCTGATATCATTTGGCTACAGGAGCTAGTTCTCTATATTTTTAACATGTTTGGCAAAAATCTTTCAACAGCTTGTGACTAAGCAGTGCTAAAAACTACAGGAGGTCAGGCTAGAAGAACCAAATGTCTATTGTGGCCCTGTTGTTTGCAAATTTATAACTGATTTAGGTGGATAGATTTCTGCAATTTTTCCAGGTGTCTGTAAGGAAGGTATTGATAGGGCATGAGTCAGCTAATCGACACTGTGGTGTTTTCAGGCTCAAACAGCCCTGCTGCAGAATGATTAAAAAAAAAAGTAGCTCATCCTGATTAAAATATCATGATAGAGTGTTTGCTAAGAGCGATTAACTCCCTTCCTTCACACACAAGTATCCAGTAAAGGGCTGTAAAGCACTACTGTATGGGAGGTGGGCTATCCTCAGGGCCATAAGAATGGGTTCCTGGGAGGTGGTTTCTGTTTACTTTCTGACTGATTTAAACTCATTTGCTCTCAGTCTAGATACGCAAACAACTGAAGAAAAGACATCGCTGACTGCAATTTTTTCTCGCTGAATCATTCCACCAGCTACTACTGTTCAGATTCTTAAGTGGTAACACGAAAAGACAAGGCCTGGCACACTAGTGAAAATGCATCGTGAAAAAGGAAGTGGAATGTGAAATGCTGCAACCAGCAGTCACATATGCAAAACCATCCGAAAGACTCAAATTCTTTGGACCACAGTACCATCTGTCATAAACGGTTACTTTGAGGATTGGAGATAGTGATTCAAAAGAAGAGCTGCTTACACATGTAAAGAACATGTAAAGAACGTTTGCTTGGGTTGACGTCCTGATTTGAACTCAGGTCCTTCCATTTTTTTTTTTAAATATTGCATGCCTCTAGATAGAAGAAAAACGGTTGGAGCTGACAGTTGTGATATATGCTTATTTAATGTGGAACTGCTAGAGAAGGAGGACAAAACCTCATTTAAAACTGGGCTGACATTGGTTTTCCCAACATAAAAAAATGTGAGACTTTGAAATTTCTTGTCCAGTTTTGGACAAAAGTCAAACTCTGGAAAATTGTGTGTATTAAATATATATAATAAGTAATATACACACTCACACACATACAACACCACAAATACCCTTTCCTAGGGAACATATGTTTTCCCTTCTTTCCCCTCAATGAATAAGCATTTTCTGACAAAAGTTTCACTGAAAAATTCCCCAAGTGCCTCTGATTGCAATCTCTAAGCATGTTTCACATATTCACTGCAAGAGCTTTCAGAGATTGTATGCATTCAAATAGAGATGCCCAATCCTACTAAAGGGATGCAATGGAGGAGTGGATAATATTTTCAAGTGAAATAAATAGAAGCCATTTACCAAGTCTTAAGTTCAAGCTTTCTTCTACCCAAGATAAATGTACTATGATGAGTGACAAACCTCTGGATTTAATCTATGATGGGATGTTTTAGGGTTGGAGTCTCAGGCTGACCAGCATAGAAACCTAGCAATCTTTTCTCTTTAAAATAAAAGTTGTGTGTCATTTTTGTTCATCAAGTGGTATCTAACATTCTGGGACTTGCATCTGATTACAATCAGCTTAGACCAGGGAAGAATTTGTTTCTACCAGTCATTTGTATGCTTGCTTCCAAACTACCAAGATTGTAGCTGGGAAAAATCACCCAATATTTCTACTGAGTAAAATGGAGTTACAGTATGAGAGTCAGATGGGCTACTTTTCCACAGAAGATAACCTATTTCACTACACTTTCTCTGTCTGCTTTATTCCTGCTTGGCCAAAGAAAATGTGTAAGCTAATCCTGACATGTAAACAAGCTGTTAGCAACATACACATTTTAAAAATAGTGTAAATGAATAAATGTTCCCATTAGCCCACATATTTCACACAGTCTGCCACAACAGTGCTCCTGAGCTGCCTCTGCTAGATAGGAGCCCAATCTTTTACCTCATAATTCAACTCTCGCTCCATGAATTTTTGGAAACACCAGATCTCCAGCCTTCAATTCATACTCTGCATTCTAATACTAATAGGAGTGAATCCAAAGCCCACTGAGGTCAAAAGACAAGCTCCCATTGACTTCGAGGGGCTTTGGCCTAGGCCTAAGCTTTTGCCATTCTGAAGCTTCACACATCATATTTTACTGATACTATTGGGGGAATATAGCAAGGGCACAATGTTACCTTTATACACCGAAGTATGGATAAACAACTTAAATCTTCACAAAAGAGAAAGGAACTATTGTTAGAAAAAAAGCAATGAACACTACAAACTGCTCTGCGCCCCTGAAAGACTGACTTCTGCAATTCTCTTTTTTTATGGTCTTCCTAAATCACTGTTCTCTAGTTTAAGACACAGAACATTACACATCACCCCGCACCTTCTCTAGGCAGGGCAGGATCCAGAACCATTTTACTTCTCCCCTCTGCCTAACAGTGGCTGTGATGGCCCCAGGACTTTCATTAAAGGAGACTTCCCAACACAAAGGTAATAGAGTCAGTTTAATAATACAGCCTGCTGTTAACTACAGGGCTAGAGTGAAGGAGCTGTGATTAACATTCCCTGGACCCATCACTGAAGCTCCAATACTCGTGTATATTCCTGTTGTACAAATTCTGTGTAAAGTAAACATCTTTTAGCCCTTTAAGCCTATCGTTCTAAACCAGCAAGTTTTCCTATATTAAAAGAAGAATCCAACAGCAAAAATAAGGCTGACACATTACTCCTTCTTTCTTATGTCTCCTTTAATCATGTTCCTAAACCCAAGTATTTTCCTTTACCCTGCCAAAAAGATTCAGGACCTACTCCACACCTATTTCAGTCCATCACAAAATTATCACCTTTAGTGGGAGCAGTCTTAGGCCTTTAATAAACAGCTCACAAGCATAATCAGTATAGGTCTCAAAGGAAGCAATAGATTGGAAGTGGGAAGCTATATCTACATCAGTCTCAGTCTCTTCATGAATAGCCAAAACAAATTCAAAGCATAAAGCCATTTGTGCTTTGAAGAATGCATCCTCCAAACTACCAACTTCTAAAGGAAGTGGTAGTAGTGCATGACAATTTGCTAAACATGCTATGAAGTATCATGCTGAATAATAATATAGGGTTTTCTGGAATCCTATATTTACTGTACATTTACTCATCGGCACCCCTACATTTACTCACTGGCAAGTATTTCATTAGTACTCCTTACCTTTTCTAAGAAGGATCTACAGCATCCACTTAGTTTGAAAAGACTCACTCAGTAAATGGGTTTTCAAAGGGTTTCATAGTTTATTATTATCAAAGAAGATGCATGTTCTGCGTGTGGCTAATTCCCTGGCATGAAAAATGAAATCCAGTAATCTTTATGCAAGCAAAACTTCTGCTGAATTAAATAGTTTTGTTTGAATATTACAAGGTTTGCACTGAAAGATGATCTGTTAGGTTGGAGAGAGGTTACTGGTAGAGTTCCTCAGAGACAGGTTTTGGAGCACTTTTATCACTAACCTTGGCACAAAAAAGTGGGAGTGTGTTAATAAAATTTGTGTATGATACAATTTTGGGTGGTATTGCCAACAAGAAGGAGGACTGGAATATCCTATGAGAAGATCTGGATGACCTTATAAACTAGTATAATAGAAATGGGATGAAATTTAATACTGTGAAGTGCAAGGTCATGATATTTAAGGACTAACAAGAATGTTTGCTATACGCTGGAAGTAGTGGGTTGTGCCCATGAAAGTTCATACCACCATCTACATTTTTGTTAGTCTCTAAGGTGCCGCAAGACTACTTGTTGTTTACGGTTTTCCAGTTAAAGGCTAACATGGCTCCCCTCTGAAACTGGGACTTAGCAGTTGGTTGTGATAGAGGAGGGAAAAGATCTAGGTGTACCACTCAATCACAGAATGAGTATAAGCTATCAATATAATGCAGCAATGAAAAAGGCTAATGTAATCTTAGGATACATCTGGAGAGTTACTTCCAGCAAACCAAGAGAAGTGTTAGTTCCATTATACAAGGCACTGATGAGACTATCTGGAATACTGGTCTCCCATGTCGAAGAAAGACCGAATGAATTCAAACTGAAGCAGGTTCAGAGAAGGTCTACAAGGATGATTCAAGGAATGGAAAACCTACCTCATGTGAGGAGACTCAAGTAGCTTAGCTTGTTTAGCCTACCAAAAGGAGGCTGAGTGGAGATTGCACTCTATAAACACATCAGAGGGATACATACCAGGAAGGGGGAGAAGTTAAGCACCAATGTGGATACAAGAACAAATAGATAGAAACTGGCCATCAACAAGTTGAGGCTCAAAACTAGCAGAGAAGTGAAGTTCTGAAACAGGGTTCCAAAGGGAACAGGGCAGGGAGGGTGACAAAAAATGGCTTCATGACTGAGTTTGATACATTTATGGAGGGGATGGCATAATGGGACAAACTACAATGGCATGTGGCCATTGTTGACTGCCAGTAGCAAAATACACCAATAGCCAAAGACAAGAGACTAGATAGAGGGGCTCTGAATTACTATGGAGAAATATTTCCCAGATATCTGCCTCCTGGGTCTTGCTCACATACTCAGGGTCTGACTAACCACCATATGTGGGGTCAGAAGGTCTCTCCCGCCAGATAAATTGGCAGAGACCTTGAGGATTTTTCACCTTCCGCTGCAGCACAGGTCACTTGTAGATTTTTACTAGTGAAAATGATGACTTCTATGTAACTTCAAGTCTATAAATCATGATTTGATGACTTTAATAACTCACTTGGGCTACGTCTACACTGGCCCCTTTTCCGGAAGGGGCATGTAAATTTCACTAGTCGTCGTAGGGAAATGCGCGGGGGATTTAAATATCCCCCGCGGCATTTAAATAAAAATGTCCGCCGCTTTTTTCCGGCTTTTAAAAAAGAGCGTCTAGACTGGCCCCGATCCTCCGGAAAAAGTGCCCTTTTCCGGAGGCTCTTATACTTTGAAGTAAGAATAAGAGCCTCCGGAAAAGGGCACTTTTTCCGGAGGATCGGGGCCAGTCTAGACGCTCTTTTCCGGCTTTTTTAAAAGCCGGAAAAAAGCGGCGGACATTTTTATTTAAATGCCGCGGGGGATATTTAAATCCCCCGCGGATTTCCCTACGACGACTAGTGAAATTTACATGCCCCTCCCGGAAAAGGGGCCAGTGTAGACGTAGCCAAAGAGTTTAGGGGTCTATGTCAGGAGTGGGTGGATGAGGGAAGGGTTTATGGCCTGCAATGTGCAGGAGGTCAGATAGATAACCATGATGGTCCCTTCTGACCTTAAAAGGTCTACAAAGTCTTTGAGAAGCCAGTCAGAAAGTCTCAGTTTCTCGACAACTTCCTGTGCCTCCCTCTGACTTAAATAGTATGCCTGAGCTAATTGCTGAGGTTATTCATAATTCACAATCAGGATCTTCATAGGCTGTGCCACTGGGAAGGACAAAAGTTCTGTTAGCCCCTCACTTTTCACTAGCTTTGACTGAACTGCCCAGAGGTGGCCAGAGTTTGCTGCCTGCTAGGAAATCTACAGGTACGTCTAAGACTATATGCCTTTGGCGACAGAGGCATGTAGTCTAGATGTACCCTACGGGCTTATGTTTAAAACCCATGGGTTCTTCCAGAAAATCATCTTCAGATCCTCTTGGCTCCTCTGGCAATTATTGCAATCAGTCACAGTAACAAGTGCTCTGCTGCTGTGAAAAAAGCAGACCACTGATTTTTGCACTGCCACTGTATCTTCTTCTCCAAAATCTAAATCTTAATTTCAGTTATACATTTAAAAATATCATGTTCCTAAACAATCTTTTTCATGAGGTTCTCCAGATATTTTGTCATGACAATGCATTGATAGAAAATTTATACAACTATAAACAGATGGAGGTATTTTCTGGATACTACTGTAAATAAATATAACTTTACCAATCACAAATTAAACAAGAATGTATACTAACTACTGATCCATGTTTATTTCAACCCTGGGCTAGAGAAAAGTAGACACCT